CCAGTGCCACAATTTCACAGTAGTCTTAAGGCTACTCATTGCATTAGTGCCTGCACAGCTGTTTCAGTGCTGACTTAATTTTGAAGCTTGAGCCTATCTCAGTGCTTGTTACTTTTTTGGCCCTAGAGGTCTGCTCAGGTCTAATTTTTAGGTCTGACCTGGACCCAAGCCCATCCACTCTGAGCCTGAGAGGGTTGAATCATTTTCTGACTCAACTCTTCTGCCTGAACCTGAGTCACTGCCACCACCTCCTGCTCCTGAGGTCGGCTCTCCTCCGCTTGTGCTCAAATAAATTTGTTAGTCTCTAAGGTTCCACAAGTACTCCTCGTTCTTTTTGCTGATAGAGACTAACATGGCTACCACTCTGAAACCTGAAAGGGTCCTGTTGTTTTCCCGCCTGATCTGGACCCAACACTTCAGATTAACTTTTACTGTGTGTGGGAATCAAAATAACCTAGGTCTTTTCCTTGTGCTAGCTTTCAGGGTTTCACGGTGAAAAACGTTGCATAGACTGCAACATCTCTTGCATCAAATCTAATTCAGGGTTTGTTGCTTTTCGTATTTGAAGTGGGCTTGATTGTTTCACACTCAGGTTAATGAGGTTAATGTTAGGTGCTAGTATTTTGCAGCTTTTTCTAAACAGGTTAGGAATTAATATTCTAGAAGTAATAAAGAATAATTAAAAGTTACTGTAGCCTATGTTAAGCAAAAACCTGCTTTGTTTTTAATAATGGTGTGGTATTAAGTTTACAGCAAGTTATCAAATGGCTTTAGGCGGTTTTAGGTGGTTGTTCCTGTCTTTTTCTTCTTTACTCAGCTTTGTTCTCCTGTACCACGCAGGCTAGTTTCAAACCAGTGCTGTGACTTCACTTGCAACTCTGCTTCTCTGTTGCACAGGGTAACTCCTGGCATTTCAGAAAGGAAGTGTTCATTAAGATTGACTTGCATTAGTGGTGCACTTCAGTAATAGCACAGAACACATCTCTGGCAGTTCACACAGCATGTACAGATGTGGCTGTAGGTTATGGTACAGCACTATAATTTTGTGAGTGTTCAGTGGATTCAAGGTATAGACCTTGCTGGTTGCAAAATAGATTTGGTAATGAACATTTAATTTATAACTTTAAACAAGCCTTGATGTCCATTTAATGTTAGGGAGTTAGAGTGGAGAGTTCTAGTACCGATTTATCTGAATTTTAATAGAATTTTGGGATCCAAAACAACTGCTTTATTTTAAAGTTTTAAAATTTGATTCCACATTGTTGGATAAGAGATGAATACTTAAAAAACAATTATAAGGAGTTAGATCTGCAAAAAGCCAATCTGTATGTTCTTTGGGGAAAAAAGTGTCTTTTTAATCCTTGTCAAGCTAGCTTGTATTGGATCCTAGTGAAGACAAGGCAATTACAGTTTACATGTTTGCTAGGCTCACCCGCAGGGTTACTTTAACTAGCTAACAAATGTTAGAATTGCGATTTTAACATGGGTTAATTAACATATGCCATGCAACATGGGCAAAAATGTGTGTTTTTTGTAAATGGAGAGAAGATCTTACAATATGACATTTATGGGGCTGCATCTTAGCCAGTTGCCCAATACTGTAATAGTATCTCTCCCTTTGCATGTTTTGGAGCATCTCCAAAACTCCACCTGCCAAACCCTCCTCCAAAATACATGTTTCTTAATTGTTTTACCCTTGAGTAATTGCAGTTTGTCATTCTAGTTAGGCAATCCATAAAGCCTGATGGGTAAATTGGAGATGCATAATCAGTTTTTGTATGAGTAAAATTCTACTTTGTTCCTAGTTTAAACATTTCCTGACATTCCCAATAGCCCTGCTACCTAGGAGATTGGGTGTCTTGCTGTTGCAATAAAAGCTGCGTAATCTCCACATTAAGACTGCTGCTGTGTGATCCCAAATTCCCCATTCCCACAGTCTTGATTATTTCTTCTTTAATTTGCCTCCTTCACTGGAAAACTCTCTAGTGTTACCTGTACAGTCATTTCCTATGCAGGTCTCTGAAGTTGCCTCTTGTTTTCTTCTGGCTGGATTGTTATGATGAGTAAGTTATCTCCTGTAGTCTTTGAGCACTTCACAGTGGTGTTGAGGCTAAAACCATTAATACTTGTAAAGTGCTTTGCACTTCTATTGCATATATCTAATGTGCTTTCAAAGTCCTAGTGATGTTTTGACTTTCTGCAAAGAGGAAAAATAACAATAGGCAAAATGATTGGGTACACTTCTTAATATTAATATAGAGGCACCATCAATTGAATATGCTCTGTCTGGTTCTTGCTAAATCTTAGTATCCATCTGCCTCTGCCCTTCATTGTATTTTCTGATCTTTTCACAGTGATCCAAAACTAGATTCCATTCTTGAAGTGTCAGGGTAGGCTCTACATGGCCACCTACCTCTTTATGTTCTTATCTTACCTACTTTCATTTGTCTCCTGTTGGCTTCCACTTCCATCACCATTGTTTATTTTATATCTTACAATGGTGCTGCATTTTGTGCATAGATCTTTCATTTCTGCCGTGAAAGGGTCAGCAGTTGCCCATGTTCATGTGCTGTTTCTGCCAGTTGTGTGACTAGCTTACACTTGATGCAGTTTGGGAGTCATTTTTGGCTTCATACTGGAATGTGAAAGTGGCTCAGCCTCTACATTGGACTCCTTCTTCTTCTGTCAGACAATCAGCATTCTTTTGTTGAATTCTTAGCTTAACTTTGATACAAGCTCCATACTGTGTCAGAACATACTGTGAATATATAGTTTTCTATTCTCCATGACAATAGGTCTCTTCCACTACACTTTAACTATCAGCACCCTATCAGTAATATATACATCATTTCATTGTGGCAAATCAGTGGATTTTTACTATAGTAGACATAATAAAAGATGACTTATGTATTTTACTGAAACCCACAGCCAGTTTTCTTTGGAGAAGGGCCAAGTCTTGAAAAGTTTACCTGACAGCTTTCTAGCCTAAAGAAAGTGGAGCTTGTCTTTGGTACGGCAGCTGTGCTTTTGTAGTACCATAGTGTAGAAACTTGCTACAATGACGGAAGGAATTTTTCCATCACTGTAGTTAATCCACCCTCTAGAAAGATAGTACACAGTACTTAGGATGGATGGATGGATCTTTGACTTTGAGTAATTTCTTTGCTGGGAAAAGATGTTTCACTGAAATCCGCTGGTTTTTTTTGCATTTTTTTAATGTTTACATTTTTTGTTTGATTATGGACAATTCCCGCTGAAGAAGGGATGTTTTTAGTTGGGTAGAAATCGTGTATGTCACTTATTTTTGGGTCTGTTAAGATATCTTGCTATCTCCCTTGTCTGCTTTTTTCCTCATGGATCAATGTGGTTAATAGCAATTTCAGGATAGTATGATACTTAGAAGTATTCTTTCTACTAAGCCTTTATACTGTTGTTGAAAACTGTAAAGGAAGAGTGTTGAAAGAGGTAAAAGCATTTAGTTTCTTTTTAAATATTTTTGATTTCTGATAAAAGCTTCTGAAAATATAACACTTTTCATTTTTTATTGAGATAGATATCTCAATATTTGCACCTTTTTTTTAACTGAAAACACAAAACCTAAAATCGCCCAGACACTTTGGTGATGGATGCTTTAGAATTCATGTGTTAATCATTTTGCTAAAGGTATATGAGAGAACCGGTCATAGTATCTTGCTGTTTCTTATTCTAATAGCTACTTAAAAAAATTCAGTAATACAATAGAGAGAAAAGGTGTTTTATGAATTACAGCAATAGTGAGGGCAGTAATGTTTCCAGGGATACAGTACATTGGGTTTTGGAAAACTAGAAATATTTAGTTTAGAAGCATTATAAAGAATTATTGATAAGTACAGAATTTTAATATTTTATGCTCATCAGGTCCAGGGTTAAGTCTTTGCTAGGTGAACTGGTGAGTTAGGCACACATGCTGAATGCTTTTTAAGGTACAGTAACTCCTCACTTAATGTTGTAGTTATGTTGCTGAAAAATGCAACTTTAAGTGAAACGATGTTAAGCTAATCCAATTTCCCCCATAAGAATGAATGTAAATGGGGGGCGGGGGGGGTTAGGTTCCAGGGAAATTTTTTTTGCCATACAGTATAGTACTATAGTTGGGAGGTGCCCCTGCCCTACCCCACACAGGCACAGCCCACTGGTACTGGAGACAATGTGGCAGGCAAGGAGGCTGAAGGTGCTGTAGGCTAGGAGAAGCACGTTGTGCCGCAGCACTGGCAGCTTCCCCTACTCTGCAAGCACCAGGGGCGAGGGGCTCCACCCTCGGCCGGCCCACTCCACCCCTTCCCCCAAGCCCCCACCCTTAACCTGCCTCTTCTTCCTCCCATCCCCCCCCCCTTACTCCGCACGCTGCATCCTTGCTCCTTCCCCCGCCCTCCTGCCTGTGGCAATCAGCTGGCTTGCAACATTCAGGGGGCAGGAGGGAGTGGGGAGGAGCGAGGACTCGGCGCCAGCCTCCCCCTCCTTCTCCTGCCTTCTGCCTGCGGCAATCAGGTGGTTTGTGGTGTTCAGGAGACAGGGGAGGGAGGGAGAGCCTGTGTGCCGAGTCCTCCCTTCTGAACACCACAAGCCAGTTGATTGCCGCGGGCAGGAGGCGGGGGGGGCAAAAGGGGGAAGGCACTGATCCACTGGGTCTGCTGGTGGGCGGGAAGCACTGTAGGAGGGGCGTAGGGGAGCTGATAGGGGGGGCTGCCAGCTGTGGACAAAGCAGGCAGCCAAACGACGACATGGTGAAGCATTGCAGAATTTTAAATGGAGCATGTTCTGTAATTGAGCAGGGACGTAAGATCGAAACAACGTTAAGCAGGGAGTTACCGTACATGTGTTCCATGAGCATCAGTAAAGCACTGCTATGTTTGTGTGAACTGGGTTTGACTTTCTTTAGGTGAGTAGTGGAATCTTATTTTTGTTAAGGGAAGTGTAAAAATGAACCAATCAAATGTGGAGTGATGCTTTGTCTCTTTCAGAAAGATGAAGGTAGTGATGGTAGTTTGAGTGATAGCCACATATCCCCTCCAGCCAAACGTATCTTGAAACATGCTGATCCTGTGTGCAAAGACAAATCAAAATCACGCAATACTGGGCAGCGAGAGGAATGGAGCATTTCAGCTGGACAGTCCAGGTAATCTGGTGCACTTTTCTTATAGTCTACATTGTCTGTCTTCTGGAATGAGAACTATGTGAATCCTATGGGTTGCGTTCCTCCTTATGTGACACCACTTTATCTGTTAAAATGGGAATGGTGGAAGGTGGTAGGGTCCAATTTTATGTTGTTTGTGCATCCAGAACTCTGTGACTTCATTAGGAGTTCTATGTGCTCAAGGAATAAGCAGCTGACCCTAAATTTAAATTAGGAAATGGGTGTTTTCATCCTCTTGTATGCAAGATGGTCCAGCCTTCTCCTTTTCAATGGTGTTTTCAGCCTCTCCATTGTTAGACAACTCATGGCTGACTCAGGAGTTTAGTATATTAGAAGCAGGCCAAAGTACTATGCATTCCATATAACCAAAACTGAAGGAGACATTAGTTTCATTTTCTGACCGATTGATTTAATTTTAAGAAAAAGTTTCCAGGTTTAAAGAGGTTCAATTGGATACAAGTAATTATGCGAATATATGGACACCAAGCAAAAGCCTCAAGCTGTTGTGCCTGGGACAGCTTGTTTGAACACTGATCTTGGCCCTTGTAACTGCTACTGCATATTGTATAGGACTAGACATTCTTTGTTTCATATTGTTTTAAACTCAGTAAGTGAGAGACAGTCATCCTTGTTACTGTTAGCATATGGGAACTACAATAGCTAATTATAAGGCAACACTCCCTAAGGTGGGACACATTTAGATACCAAATTTGATTCAAATTGATGTGGATAAGACAGGTGATTATTTAAACTGAGAACTGGATGACTACAGCTTATTATATAGCATGCTTCCTTCAGAAATCATCTTGGAGCATATACAGCCACCTCTGATATGCTGGGTCATTTAACAGTCTACACCAGCACTACACAACAGTTTAGCTGTTAGACAAGATGTAAAAGAACATGGTGGATTGATTTAAGTCAAAGCAATTTAAATCACCGATTTTAATCATTTAAAGCAGCAAACTGGAAACCTTGTTTAAAATCATTGATTTTAATCATGCTTTGCTTTTGAACTTTTTAATTATTTTCCTAAAGAAAGGTTGATTCTCATTTGTTGATAACCAATAAGATATGTTGAATTGCAACTACGTATAGCCTTTATGCTAAATTTAGTGCTTCTTTTTGCTAATCAGAGGGATACACTATATCGACACACATTTATTTAAATAATTACGTAGCTAACTTGAATTTTTTCATATTCTTAGCTCTTACATTTTTATTATGTTAGAAAATGGTGAATTTCTTATTAGATTTTTTTACTTGTGATTTGTCAAGCTCTCTTTGGATGGAAATTCAAATGTGATTAAAATGCACATTTTTTTAATTTGTAATAAACTTCCTTTAATGTGTTGGATACACAAAAAGAAGTATAAAAGTTTATCAAAACCTATTTTACATTAAAAAAGGAACTGTTATCTATAGTTAATGAATTGAACTGGTAGTTTCTGTCATCTGTCCTTCAAGATTTTAGAACTAGTGTAGGTCTCATCCTTTCAGACCTCGTCTTTTATTGATAGATTGTAAGGGGAAAGCAAGCTTTCCGGCTTTTTCAATTCCCAATTGGTCTCTTAACTTTGAATGAACTAGTCGTTGAACTGAACTAGTTGAATAAAGTGAAATGAAAAAAATCTTCTCCTTGCACCTGCAGAAGAGGCTACTGCTGTCAAAAACATTTATCACTTCAGAAAACTCCAGTTCCAGATGATTATTCTGTGACTTCCACCAGTCCAGTGGTTTGACTTTCTTTAAAATGGGCAGCAAACATGTACTGATTAATATTTTATTATTTAATGTAAACAATTATAATAGATTATAATAAGTTTAGGCCTACACATAGGTTGTCAATTTCAAATTTAACTTTAAATAAAATACAGGTTTATTTTTAAAAAAATATGTTAATTTAAATAAAATCTGTAGTTTTTTTTTTTAATTGTATCCTGGAAGAATATCACTTAGGTGAACTCAATTTGCCTGAACTGAAATTTGGCCAGGACATTGGAGCTAACATCATTGGTCCTTTAAGAAGTGCTATGATGTGTTTAATGACTGGATCTTGGTCTGTTACAGAAACTAGATTTAAAGTAGAAAACTGAGATTAAAATAAAATTTTAGCAATGGGCTACTTGAACAAGCCCAGAAGAGCCATGCATAATAACCTGTGTGGAGATTCTGCTTTTTGGTATTAAGCAACAAATACATGTGACCATAAAGCCATTACTACTAATTGTTTATCAAAAATGCCTGAGAGGATCATGATTTGCAGATGCAATTCTCCTATGTGTTCTGATCCATCACCGTGACAAGGTTTTGAGGTCTACCATGGTGAGTCTCTTGGTTTATGAAAAATTGGTATGCCTTTCCCAGGTAAATAATAGTAGAAGCCCATGTCCTAGTTAAATCCATCTCTTCAGAAGTAGTAATTTTTGCAAGAGTAAAGGGGCAGTGGAGCCTGGGTCAAATGATTTCCCTTTTCCTTTTTCAACTGGTTAATTTATTCATTTTCCAACCTAAAATCAGTTATCCCCCCTGCCTTCCACTGTGGACAATAGTTGTTGCAGTTCAGTGGTCCTTTATACACATTGTAAAGCACTTAAGATCCTTCAGGATGACAGGTGGTATATGAATATAAATTCCTGATTTGACTAATCTATCTTGATTTTATATGTACTGGTCCAACAGGATATTTTCAGCTAATATTCTATCATAATTTTAGGGCATTTGTACATTTTAATTCTAAGAGAATAACTTATGTTTTAGTAAGTTAGTCTTAACAGATAAGAAATACACCTCTACCCCGATATAACGCTGTCCTTGGAAGCTAAAAAATCTTACCGCGTTATAGGTGAAACCGCGTTATATTGAACTTGCTCTGATCCGCTGGAGTGTACAGTCCCCCCCCCCAAATCACTGCTTTACCGCGTTATATCCAAATTCGTGTTATATCGGGTCGCGTTGTATCTGGGTAGAGGTGTACAATCTTTTACTCTAATGTAAAAATCAAGACTGAATATATGGTACAATAATTTGTTAAATCATGTAATTTATGGAAGAGATTTGGATCATGTTTTGGCTCTCATACCAACCCAGTGGGAGTTAACTTTCCTTTAGGAAAACTAACTTTAAAAAAAGAAACACAGAATACTTATGATTGAGGTCTTAAGTAATATTTTTACTGTTGATTTAAGTAATCTTGATTTGTCAGTCTTTTTTCCTTCAGTTATTAGATTTGTTAAATAGATTTAATTTTTTTGTTTTTATAACTTTGCCCTGCACATTTTTATTGCTCAGTTTTCATTGGTTTCAGTTATCTACCAAAACATTAAGAGCTTAAATGGTGTTTGCTTCTGACTAGCAGCAGCAAGAGTACTGTTTCTGGAACCTGTGTGGGGCTTCTTTAACAGGTGGGGACATAAGTGAAATGGTGTAGCCTATTAGTGGAGCAGATATTGATATATCTTTTTCAGTATGGTGATACTAGTTAAAATTGTTTATTAGTATAAAAATAAAATATTAGAATAATGTTAAGAACACAAGGATGGGTCAGACTAATGGTTCATCCAGCCCAGTATCCTGTCTTCTGACAGTGGCCAATGCCAACTTCAGTTCCAACTTCAGATGCAAGCCAAATTCTTGAGAGCATATTTTACAAATGCTTTAAATTATGCTCAATGTATAACACTTAAGGATTTCTATTTCAAAAGTGTTGGTTGCATTGTCGCTTTTATGTAGTAAATGAAATGTTGATATATTTTGCATATTTAATATAATTGTTTTCCAGGTTAACGTCTCAGGCTGGTGCTACATTACCAACTGGACGTAGCTTATGTGAGTGTTTTCCCTTTGGTTATTTTATATCTATATTTAATCTTAACTACTTTTATATTGATGATTCTCAAATGTATATATTTTGACACCTTCATTGGTGTGTTTCTCCCTGTGTTTACAAGAAACTGTTTTCTCTCTGATTCCTTCAGATAATTTATTGGATGCTTCCTTTGGGCACGAGTAAGGTAAAGATTCTGTCACGGGTATTTTTAGTAAAAGTCAGGGACGGGTCGCAGGCAATAAACAAAAATTCACGGAAGCCTGCGACTAGAGCCCTGCATGGATACAAAATTTGTATCTGCATCCGATTGGCAAACGTGGGCCATGGATATAAAGTGGATAGCTGCAGATTTGCGGGGCTCCAGATATAAAATTTGCATCTGCATCCAATCCACGGATATCAACAGATTAGCAGGGCTCTACCTGCGACCTGTCCCTGACTTTTAGTAAAAATACCATGGAAGGGGGACTGGGATAGGAACAGAGTACTGCCAGGACTGCTGGAGCTTGCAGCTGCTCCAGCCCCACCGCTGCTTCTCCGGGAGGGGCTGACTGCTGCTGCTCCACCCCTAGCCGCTGCTGTGGCGGTGGGGAACCACTGCTTCAGTGGTCCTGGGGCTTGCTGCGGGTTAGCTGTTCTGGCAGGCAGCCCCATGGCTGACAGCTGCTCCAGCCCTGCTTAGAAGAAGTCATGAAGGTCCCGAAAAGTCACTGAATCCATGACCTCTGTGACATAACTGTATTCTTAGGCACAAGGAGCATCATCAAACATAATTCCATCTCTCTTCCCAATTCAGAATTCCCATTTGGTGTCTCCTGGCCATAAGCTTGTCTACACTCGCAGCAACGTGTAGGTTACGTACAGCTATACACTGCAGTGAAAGGCAGGCTGCATCCACACTCACTGCGATGTGTAGCTACATGTGGCAGTGGGAGGCACTGGGAAAAGGCTGCGGCAGTGGGGAGTTGCTAGAGCCTTTTCTCGTTGCCTTCTCCCTGCCAGTCTCTTATCCCATGTTGGAGTCTTTCACTGCAGCAGGGAAAGGCTCTGACAGCAGGACACCACACTACTAAAAATAGCGGCATAGATATGGAAGACACTACTTGGGCATGTAGAGAGCCGTATAGGGTATATACCCTAAGGGTCTACTTGCCTAAGCAGTGCCTCAGTGTCTACACTGGTATTTCTGCCTAGCTAGCTGGGTGTGCAGTTACAAGTGTAGACCTGCCGTTGATCCCAAATTTTACCTTCATGGACTTGTTTTGGCCTGTTTCTCGCAGGTAATATCTTTAATTTATCCAGTCCCTTTGCTTACCTAATACCTGGCCTTCTCTGGCTCAGCATGCTGTTTCACGACTGTTTTTGAGACCTGCTACGTCTGCAGCTCCTGCCACCTAGAACAGTGTTCCTGTGAATCTTCACCTTAGCAGTTTGCCAGTTCATTTAAAATCTCAACTGAAAACGTATCCAGTTTTCATGTCTATACTTCTTAATTTCTGTCTCCTTTAGTTATGCATTGAGTCCGAGAGTATATTCAATTCCATTAAGTATTTTGATAATTATTTATTAATTTTATTATTGTAGTGCCTAAAGAACCAACTAAAAATGGGGCTCCCATTCTTAGGGGGCACTGGACAAAGTAGCATACATAGATTTCTATGCAAAATAAAATTGTATTGTATCAGTAAAATAAAACCTTTTGATACTGTACTTAAAGGAAAGAGTAAGAACTGAAACTGCGAAGGTTGACTGACAGTCTTAATGTTAACTTTAAAATACTGAATATTTGGTGTGCAAATACAAACTTACCACAAAATAATATATATTTATGTACAAGTAAATAGCCCAAATGGCACAGAAGTACAGTTAGTAAAATAACATTGGTAGGGACTTAAAACAGATAACTCCTACTACAGTAAATGTCAGGATGCACATTCAGGGGGAACTGACTCTGTTTCTTAATATTGTTTGGTTTCTTATCCTTGTTAAGTAATCTGATTATTGAATTCTTGTTTGTAAGAATGTTGTTTCCTGCATTTTGAAGTAGTAATACAAATTTCTCTTAGCTCTCAAAAGCCATCCCCTTCGAGGGGAAAAAAAGGGAGATGGGGACCATGGTTGCATAAACGGAGATATAGAAGTGAGAAAAAGTTGTCGGTCCAGGAAAAACAGATTTGAAACTTTGAATCAGAGTTTATTGTTTGATCAGCTAGTAAACAGGTATGTGTGGATACTTCAGTTGCACACGTCACAAAGCATCTTGATGGGTTTTTTTTAAACAGTTAGAACTGCAATACAGAGCTTTCTATCTAAATGTCATTTAAATAAGTGAACAACAGTAACAACAATGGTTGGAAGTTAAATACATCTTGCTTGTATGGCTGAATTATAAAATGTCAACAAGTTCGTAGCTGTTTCTTTACCACTTGTTGTTAATGAGATACTGCATACAGGATTGGTGTCACTTTTTGACTTTACAATGCAGATAAAGTTGATCAGAGAGGAAGGCACAGTCTGTTGATCTCAACACAGGAGTGGGAGCCAGGAATTCCTTGCTTTGAAAGTGGTTTCCTCTGTGGCCTTGGGCAAGTCACTTAACCCCTCTGTCTCAGTTTTCTCTTCTGTAAACTGGGTATAATATGTACCTTTGAGAGATACTGAGTATCAGTGTTTGCAAAATGTTTTAAACGTGAAAAATGTTCTGTAACTGCTAAGTATGATCTTTATTACTGATAAAAAATGTATTCTGCTGAACTTTAGTTTTTCACAGAAACTGCTTTTTTCAATGTTCTCAGTAATCACTTGGTATCAGTTTATAAGTTTCTCTTGAGTTACTTTTTCCCTGGTTGAATTTAAAGCCCTTTTTTATTCAACTCCTCTTCCTCCTCAATATAGTAATAGGAAAGCAATCTACTATAAAGATGGTAATGTGATAAGATTGTGATACTGACGCCTGCATTTGTGTTTACATTGAGCCAAAATGTCCAAAATTATAAACAATAACTTGAATGTATCTAGATCAGTTAGGTTGTACATCAGAAATACTTAATAGTATTGATTATAAATTCAAAGGGAAAAAATGCTTTTGGGTGACATTCTCTCCCTATTAATGTTAATGGCAAAACCTCCATTTTTTTTCTTTTGTATATTAACAGTGCCATTCAGTGTAATAGAAATCGTATAAGGCTTTTTGCAACTTAAATAGAGAGAAACTTAGTATTTACACAAGTATACAATTATAAATTGATCTATGGAAGTCCCTAAAGCTGTATTGACAAGACTTGCCACTAATCGCTTTCTTCAGTTTTGTGGTATCAGTCACATATTGTGTTTGATGCTTTTCTACACTTTGTTTCTATCTTCTGTTTTGTCAATTGGTAGTGGTGGTTCAAGTCTCTTATTATCTCATTTAGGTCCAAACTTCTGTTTTTCTTATGTTTAAATGTGTAACCTGTTTGTTAGTTGTCCTGTCAAAACCGTGCGTGATATTAAGCTTTTGTCCCTTTTCCTCCTCTGTTTTCCTTATTTTAACATCTTGATTTTTAGTTTAATTTTGACTCTTGTTGAAGGGGTTTCTCCCTGTGTGTGTGTGTGTGTGTGTGTGTATGGTGGTCACACTACACACTATCAGGTTTGGTGGAAGGGAATGACCATCTTCCAACAAATTCCCAAAAGTTTCACCAGACTTCTAAATAGTTATCCTTACCTCCATTGATTTCAGGATTTCACACTCTTTGGATTTACCTTTAAAGTGCTGACTGGAAATGATTGAAAGTTGATAACAGTTTCCAACTGTTATGCAGCTTTCGTACATTTTCAGTGGACAGGTATCCACAGTACACAAACCTTCACTACAGTTAGCAATAATTTAACAGTCATGACAAATAAGTAGATGATTGATTTGGGCCTGGCTGATGACTTGTCATCTCCTTCCCGAGAAGTGGTCCGTCCTGCTCAGTCCGTAGCACCATCAGTTTAACAACACTTTAAAGACGTTTAAGGTAAAAGTCCTTCTCTGGAAGAGCTTGCAGTCTAATTTTACAATGATTAAGTTAAGTGATGCAACAGAGGCAAATTAATGAGCAGTGGAGTTCTATATGTCTCTTTTATTTCACATATTTGGTTATTTTAAAAAAATTTCTTTATTTGTTAGCCCTTGCCTCAGAGAAATGCTGACATTTGATAGAGCTTACAGGACTGAGGTACATTTACAGGAGTGCAGTGTTGCTACCTGTGCTACGCTGGTTATGTGGATGAAAAGCTTCAGTGTCACAGGCTGTCAGTCTGGTACTTTTCACAAGTATACCATTCAGACTCACCAGATTTAAAAATTAACCCCCACAACTGACAAAGAGAACACACACTTAAAATTAAAATTGATATTAGAGTTTGATTCAAAGCCCATAAAATAATCGTTTTTTCTCTTATGCAGACACTTTGTATACTTTTACCCTCTTCTTTCAATTTTCTTTATTATGGCTGACTATTTTTAGTTTAATTGATGGATTCAAGGAGTTGCAGGAGAGACTGAAATAAAATTTTAGTTAATCTGTAGATTTTATTCCATATATAATTCTGGGAATGATTGCAAAGAAATTATAATTTTAGTGTAGTGCGTTACATAGAATTATTTGTGTGTAAAAGTTCTGCAGCTCTTCTATTTTAAGTCTGAATATTTGTCTCTTTTATGTTAAATATTGTGCATATTTAGTACTGCTGAAGCTGTACTACAAGAAATGGACAATATTAACATCAGGCGGAATAGGAGGTCTGGAGAAGTAGAACGGCTGCGAATGTGGACAGACACAGAATTTGTAAGTTCAGAATCTTTCAAATTTTGGATAAAGGTAACATCCAGTGGCTATATGTATATTTTTATAACTCTCCATACGTCTGTTGCCTACAGTATGTTAAAATTCTAAAGCATTTTTTCAACTCCTAGCTAATGCTCACTGTTATAAATAAACACTGATGCTAGGTGTATTTAATTTTAGAAAGATATTAATATGTCATCCTGTTTGGTTAATGTGGAATTGACTGACACATTCTCATATAGTGCTAGTGTTGTTAAATTGGAGAGGAAACGTGGTTTAGTGGTCGAAAACAGGACTGGGCACCATGGTGGCCTGAGTTCTAAACACAGGCTTTGACATTGACACATCTGTGGCCCCGGGAGAGTCATTCCTCAATCCTCCTCATTTCGTAAGCTGAGAATACTTACCCTACCTCTCAGGGTTATTTGTTGGTAAAGCACATGGAAGATGGAAAGCACTACTTAGGTATTACCATTACTATTTGGGCTAACAATGCAGGTTACGAGGAATAGTATCAATTAATGAGCAAATTCATTTTGTTCTAGGAAAACATGGACATGTATTCTCGAGTGAAGAGAAGGCGGAAATCACTGAGAAGAAATAGCTATGGAATTCAGAACCATCACGAAGTGTCCACTGAAGGGGAAGAAGAAGGTATGGATTGTACAGATTAACTATAGGGCTTCATTTGAAACACTAATGAAACATACTGTTTAGAAGAAATAACTTCTTAAAATAGCTAGTGTATTGATACAAATACTGTACAGTACTACTGTACTGTAATAGAGAGAATTAGTAATAATTTGCTTTTGCTTAATAGAAAATGAACTGGGTCATTGGAAATACACAATATAGAAATTCTGCTCTTTAGCAAAGATTTATGGTGTCCGCAGGTTTCAGTGTACTGCTGAAAAGGATCTGAGAGTTATAGTGGATCACAAACTGAACTAAAGCTTTTGTTTAAAAGAAAAAAAGTTTGTTAAATTGGCATTACAAATATGGAACAATTTAAACCAGATTTCCTGTATCTTAGAACTGAAACAGTTGCTCTGGGTAGTGTAAACCACAGTGGGGTGTAAATTTTGAAACTCAGTGGAGGCAATTTAAATGATATTAACTGTTATAGTAGTGATTATTTTAGTAGAAACATCCAGCTGATATCTTTAGCCTATGTGTTTAGGTTTCTTTCAAAGAGCTTTTAATAGGAATTAGGCTGCAAATTTTAAAGTTGTAATTATTTTAGTATTTTATCAAATATTTGATTTCTTTTGGTTATCATGGGAATTTTGGGAGAATGAAAAGAGGAGCAAAGGTATTCTAGGTTTTTGGAAATCATAGAATTGTACCATCAGAAGGGATCTAGAGAGGCCATCAAGACCAATCCCCTGTGCTGAGGCAAGACCAAGTAAACCTAGACCAGGGGTAGGCGACCAATGGCACACGTGCCAAAGGCGGCACGCGAGCTGATTTTCAGTGGCGCTCACACTGCCCAGGTCCTGGCCACCAGTCTGAGGGGCTCTGCATTTTAATTTAATTTTAAATGAAGCTTCTTAAACATTTTAAAAACCTTATTTACTTTACATACAACAATAGTTTAGTTATATATTATAGACTTTTTTTTTATAGAAAGAGACCTTCTAAAAACATTAAAATATATTACTGGCATGCGAAACCTTAAATTAGCATGAATAAATGAAGACTCGGCACACCACTTCTGAAAGGTTGCTGACCCCTGACCTAGACCATCCCTGACAAGTGTTTGTCCAGTGTGTTCTTAAAAACCTCCAATGATGGGGATTTCACAACCTGTCTTGGAAGGCTATTCCAGAGCGTAACTACCCTCATAGTTAGAAAGATTTTCCTAATATCTATTCTAAATTTCCCTCCCTTTAGATTAAGGGTACGTCCAGACAGCCCGCCATATTGGCGGGTAGCGATCGATTTATCGGGGATCGATATATCGATCCCCGAATGCGCACCCCGTCGACTCCGGAACTCCACCGGAGCGAGCGATGGTAGCGGAGTCGATGGGGGAGCTGCGGCCGTCGATCCCGCGCCATGCGGATGGGAGGTAAGTCGGAATAAGATATGTCGACTTCAGCTACGGTATTCCCATAGCTGAAGTTGTGTATCTTACATCAACCTCTCTTCTCCTCCCCCCTGTGTAGATCAGGCCTATGCTTCTTACTTCAGTGAACATGAAGAACAATTGATCACTGTCCTCTTTATAATAGTCCTTAACATATTTGAAGTCTGTTATTAGGTCCCCGCTCAGTCTTCTTTTCTCAAGACTCAACATACCCAGTTTTCTTAACCTTTCCTTTTAGATCAAGTTTTCTAAACCTTTTATCATTTTATCTGCTGTCCTCTGGACACTCCACTTTGTTGACATCTTTTCTAAGTGTTGTGCCCAGCATTGAACACTGTACTGCAGGTGAAGTCTCACCAATGCTGAATCGAGCAGGACAGTTACTTCCTGTATCTTACATTTGATACTCTTGTTAATACACCCCAGAGTATTAGCCTTTTTTGCAACTGCATCACTTGGTTGACTCATATTCAGTTTTTGACCCACTATAACTCTCAGATCCTTTTCAGCAGTTGGCACGGAGTCACAGTTTCAGTAATCTGAATGAAGCCAGTCAGGACTATAGTGTAATGTGTCTCCCCTCAGGGCACACACTCACCAGGGCAAGAGGCCTCCCCGGCTTCAGTGATTCCTGGGTTTGACCTCGGAGCAGTCAGCACCCCTGTTCACACAGTGAGCTTCCCACAGTGAGTCTACCTGGATGGGACACCTGGGGAAGCCTTACAAACCCCCAAAGGGCCATGTACCCCAACTTTGCAGTCAGCAGTGACTCTCTGCCAGTGTTGTAAAACAGAAGGCTTTATTAGTCGTCAGGAACATCGCATAGAACAGATCTTGTTAACACAGAAACCAGGAAGTTACAGCAAAGTCCATCTTGAGGGGCTCCAGAGCCCTGGGCTCTTCTCCTGACACCCAGACCAGCAGATGGACTCCTTCCAGCAGCCCAACCTCACTCATGCCCAGCCTCATTCATGCCCAGCAGCCCCACCTCCATACTTTGTCTCTTTCCCAAGCAAACAGGTCATCTGGTCTCTTTGTTCTCCAACGCCTTTGGCTGGCTCCTTGCAGAAGATGGGCTCTGGCCATCAGTTGTGATGATACAGAGTGTTGTCCATTCTTTGTGCCCAGGCAGACAGTCAGTAGTCTAGGGGTCACTGCTATGATCACACACTCTTATCCTTTCACCTAGATACTTGAATAATACATTGGGAAAACTGAAGCCCACACACAGTATTCAGAGAAAACATTAAGAACATTCTCACTTCATCACAGCAGTACTACTACCTAGCCATTTTGTAGCTGTGCATTTTATTTTTCCTTTCTAAAGCAAGTATGTTGCACTTATATTTATTGAATTTCCTCTTGCTGAATTCAGACTAATTCTCCAATTTGTCAAGTTTGTTTTGAATTCTAATCCTGTCGTCTAAAGTGCTTGGCACCCGTCCAGCTTACTGTTAACTGCATATTTTATAAGTGTACTCTCTGCTCCATTATCCAAGTAATTAATGAAAATATTGAATACTACCAGACCTGGTTCTGATCTGTGGGGGACCCCATTTCATATGCCAGTGAACCATTGATAACTCCTCTTTGACTATGGTCTTTCAACCAGCTGTGCACCCACTGTATAGTAATTTCATGTAGACCACTTTTCCATAGTTTGCTTATGAGAATGTCATATAGGACTATGAAAAGCCTTACTGAAATCAAGATATATCACATCTTCTGCTTCCCCCCATCCATTGGGCCACTAACCCAGTCAAAGAAGGAAATTGTGTTGATTTGGCATGATTTGTTCTTGACGAATCCATGCTGGCTATTCCTTATAACCCTATCATCCTATAGGTGCTTACAAACTGATGGTTTAAAAAATTGTTCGAATATCTCTCCAGGTATGAAAGTTAGGCTGACTGGCCTATAAATCCCCAGATCCTCTTTGTTCCACTTTTAAAAGATAGATACTATGTTTGCCAGTCTGCTGGGGCCTCACCTGTCTTCCATGAGTTCTTGAAGATAATTCTTAATGGTTCTAAGATTGTTTCATCTAGTGCCTTAAGTACCCTAGGATGAATTTCATCAGGCCCTGCCGATTTGAATACATTTAATTTATCTAAATATTCTTTAAACTGTTCATTTCCTATTTTGGCTTTCATTCCCTCCCCATTTTTTTAATATTAATTGTGCTGAGTATCTACTCCTCATTAATCCTTTTAGTGAACACTTCAGCTTTCTTGATGTATAATCCGTTATTAGCTCTCTTTCCTCACTACTCTTTCCTTCACTATTCTCTTGTTCCTAACGTATTTTAAAAAAACTAGTCTTATCTTCTTTGTCCCTTGCAAGGTGTAACTCATGTTGTGTCTTAGCCTTTCTGATTTTGTTCAGACATGCTTGTGCTGTTCTTTTGTGCTCCATCCTAGCAATTTGTCCATGTTTTCACATCTTTTAGCATTCCTTTTTGATTTGCATGTCATTTAAGAGCTCCTGATGGAGCCATATTGGCATCTTACTATTCTTCCTATCTTTCTTTTGCATTGGGATGATTTGCAGTTGTGCCCGTACTGTTGTCTCCTTGAGAAACTGCCAGGTCTCCTGACCTCCCTTTTCCCTTAGATTTTCGTCTCATGGAACCTTACCTATTAATTCTCAGAGTTTGTTAAAATCTGCTTTTTTGATTTTTACTGTCCTAATTCTGCTGCGTTCAAACCTCCCTTTCTCCTTAGAATAATGAAATCTATCATATCATGAATACTTTCACCAAAATTGCCTTCCACCTTCAGATTCGCAATGAATTTCTCCCTATTGGTCAGAATCAAGTCAAAAATAGTTGCCTCTCTGTTTACTTCATCCATTTTCTGAAACAAAAAGTTATTCCCTGTACATGCCAAGAACTTATTGGACCTTTTGTGTTTTGCTGTATTACTTTTCAAACAGATTCTGAGTACTTAAAGTCCCCCACTACTTCTGGGTCTTGTGTTTTGGATGTTTCTGTTGTTCTTCAAATGCCTCATCCACCTCCTCTTTTTGGTTTGGTGTCTACTGTAGACCCCTCTTCCATGATATCATCCATATTTTTTCACCTTTTGTCTTTACCCAGAGACTTTCAACTGGTCTGTCTCTCAACCTCCTTCTTGACCTCAGAACAAGTGTATATATTCTTTCAACACCTCCTCCCTTTTTTTCTGCCTTGTCTTCCTACCTATACCCCTCTTTACCAATATTCAAGTCATGAGATTTATCCCACCAAGTCCCTATGCTGCTAGTTAAGTCATGATTTAGCCTATGTATTTATATTTCCAGTTCTTCCTGTTTATGGCCCATACCCTTTGCATTTGTGTGTTGACATGTGAGATATTGAGCAGATTCCCATGCTGATTATTCTCTTGTTGCTCCTGAGATCCTACCGTAATTTTCCATGCCTCCCCCTCATAAGGTTCCCCCCAAACCTCTAGCCTTCTGTTAGTTGCCTTTTTTATGCTTACCTGTGGGCTTTTGTCACCTGTCTCCTTTGAACCTAGTTTAAAACTCTCCTCACTTATTTATTTAGTGTGTGCATAGTCGTCTAGCCAAGCAATGGCATCTTCAGTGGGTTGATGCAGTTCTTCTAGGCCACCACTGAACCTAGTCAGCAGGCATTCATCGACAGTGTGTGTCATCATCTGTGTTGTGCTGCAGCTGCACAAAGGGCGTCACGAAGGCCCCAGCGATACTGGTTAGCTGCACAGAGACCTTGCCCAGTCCGGAACCTGTTCAACGGGGACCATTGGTCGACGGGGCAGGTCAAAACCAGGTGGGCAAATTGTGGGGTTGGTGATGAGGAACTGGTTGGGGATTATAACAGATACCCATTCCTCTCGCCAGAGTGTTCCCGCCCTAACATCCTGGCGTGGCAGATGAGACCATAATGGGTGACGTGATGGCAAACATGCAGCTGGTGTTGGGGGAGGAGGGATAGCTCAGTGGTTTGAGCATTGGCCTGCTAAACCCAGGGTTGTGAGGGAGCCACTTAGGGATCTGGGGCAAAATCAGTACTTGGTCCTGCTAGTGAAGGCAGGGGGCTGGACTCGATTACCTTTCGTTGTCCCCTCCAGTTCTAGGAGATTTCATATATGGAGATATCCTATTATTATTATATTATTATTAAAAAGGTCATTGTGCAGCGGCAGGCTTGGGTTGGCACATACTTTCTCCAGTAACTTGCCAGTGGCAACCTCTCATCTTACATTAGGAGGCGCAATATTGCTTAGAACTGGAAGCCATGGGAGTGGAGTCAGACACCGAGTGCCGGAGATGATACGCAGGGTGCCCTGTCATCTCCAAGCACTTGTCTTCTCCCCCATATGGACTCTGAACTGCCTATCGCAGAGGAACAGTTTGACTCCTGTGACCAAAGGTAGCAGGACCCATGATACCTTCACAAGCAGGCCAGTGTGCCATACCGTATTGTATGCTGCTGTTAGATCGATGAAAACAGTGCCTGTTTTCAAGTTTCTCTGGAAGCCATTTTCAACAAATGTGGTCAGCGCGAGTACGTGGTCGCATGTGCTATGGCCTTGGAGAGAAGCTTGAGCCCTGACCAAGCTGGCTTCTGCCATGTCGGGTAATATGAGCTGTAGGTGGGTGGGTGAGTTGGCGCTTGAAGATGCTCTTCCTCCTCTTGGTAGGTGGACCCCATCTCCTCCCAGCAGTCCTTCCTGGAATAGCGTTCATGGTTGAGAAAGCTTCCTGGTTGCACAGATGGTGTCAATATGCATTAATCTCCAGGATGCATATCCCCCTGTCTGGGACCTTACCCTCAGCCATGAGGATGGACAAGAACACAACCTTCACCCTTGCCCCCAGAGCCCTGTAGTCACTGCTGATCTGCTCAGGGTCATACCTGGTAGTATCATTAGTGCCCACGTGGATGAGTGACATGGGATAGTGGTCAAAGTTAATCAATAGCAATAAGACAGAAGTGATCCAGAAATACCATCTGGCTAACTCCCTTTGCATCACCAGCCATCTGTCTTACCAGCCATTTGGAGCTTGCATGCTTGTTAAAGCCTGGGCCTTACACACAGCTATAATGGGTGACTCAACCCATCACACTCGGCTGTCTGTAATCACTGGCCTGTTCACAAAAAACTGTACTGCTCTCTCTTCAAAGAGCCCAGCTAGAGCCCTTCAAAGAAAAGCAGGTGCTGACTCACCTACTTGCAGGGCAACCTTGTTCAAACAGTCAGCAACCAAGCCTAGATTTCAAAACACAGCATCCAATCCAGAGTCCTACCACGCTCGTCAGCAAGTTCCCAGCACAGAAAGTGCTTCTCTTTTGTCCCCTTCCCTCACCATAGTTAATCAGTAGCAGTAAGATGGAAGTGCCCCACAAATGCTCACCAGCTGGCTAACTTCTTTAGTCTCCCAGCTGCCTTCATTTTACCAGCCACATGTCTCAAGTAGGCAAGGGATTATTATTATTAAAGTGAAAAACAAAACCACCCGCCAACTGGGTAAAATAAACTAATTTTATGTAAAACCACTTGGTAAATATATAGAAATCTACTACATTTATTATTGTTATATCCTGCTGATTTTCCAAAAAAATCCTATGGAAGCCAGTAGGGAATTTGGCAAAACATCCTGCGGATTTCCAGTGGCCCCAATGGTGATTAGTTTGTTCTAATCAGTGAAGAAAATGATCCTTATGCATTTAGAATTTATTTTGTGGATTTATTTTTGGGGAGAGGGTGAGAGGGGCAAGGTTGCTGTGAAATAAAGTAATAGAACGGTTCAAAATGTTTTTGGCTTTTTCTTTCTAGAATCTCAAGAGGAAGATGGAGATATAGAAGTAGAAGAGGCAGAAGGAGAAGAAAATGATCGACCTTATAATCTAAGGCAAAGAAAAACTGTGGAAAGGTACCAGGCACCTCCAATAGGTAAGGAATCAGGCCATAGATGACCTTTCTACTCATATTAGCTGGACTTGCTCTTCGATAGAGCTCAAAGATACCATAGATTTTTCCCTGTTAAGTATTGTAACTGTTTTGCGCTGGTTTCTCTGGGTTACTGAATAAACATTGTCAGATTGTTAAAGCATGCAATTGGACGTGAGGAAAGTAAGGTTTTTATTCCAAGGCCTGCCACAGACTTGTTAAGTGTCTTGCCAAAGGTCACACACTTCTGATCTATTGTGTTGCCTTGGTCAGAACAATGGACAAGGGGACAGAAGTTGGATAATTGCTCTTCATCCCTAAGGGAGCTTCTATGCAGAGTTGCACAGGGTTGCATCGTGCTTCCCCTTCTGTTCAATATGTATACGGGGCATCTGAGAAGGTTAATGAGAGATACTCTGGTATATTCAGTGTGGTGGTGGTATCAATTCTATAACTATCTAATCTGACCTACCTAGTGCTGTTGCATGCCTGGCTCAGAGTCTGGCGTAGATGAGGACATAGATAAGAGCTAACTGGTTAAAGCTCAATCTAGATAAGGAGATGGTGATCCTGGTAGGTTGGGGGAATCGGAATGGAAGATATGGTGATGGTTAAGTTTGTTCCTCTCAGTGAGATTGCGTGCCCACCATTCATAACTACTGTGTGTAACTGGGGATAGTGTTGAATCCGTGGATGCTGTTAGTTTATCACAAGCAGCGTTTTCCAGTCTTCGTCTAGATAAGAGATTGCACCTATTTCTTTTGGGTGTAGACCTTGCTGCTGTTCATGCGTATAGCACTTCAAAATTAAACTACCACAGTGCACTGCACATAAGATTACACCTTAAAGCAATATGGAAACTGAAGCTGTTGCAGAATGTGGTGGCATGAATTCTGCCTATTTGAAAAACCACCTCTCTGTCTCTGCTATATTGTGACAGCTGCAATCAGCTGAGGAGTTTGAAAAGAGATGGAACTGGTAATGGAGGCCCCTCGTGAAGACCACTCTATCTCTTTCATTCTTTCCCTTGATCTGAAATAATCCAAATCTTCTGACAGTGAGGGTATGCTGCAAAGCCCATTTCTTCATATGGCTTTTGGAGCGAGAGGGTCACAATAAAAGATGAGGATTGTGAGGAAGAGGGATATAGATGAGCTTATTTTCATTATGGTCTTATTTTCTGGGTTTTGGGTGAGGTATTTCTAATTTTCGGCAAAGTTACCTAGAGCTCAGGATAGGCACTTTTTGTATAGATTTGTTATAAATTAAAATAAGTGTGGTTTTTTTCTTAGATTGTCATGTGGTTACCCTTTTTTGTATTTGATGTTTCAAGGCTGTTACCTTTTTTTCTTAGTGCCGGCTCATCAAAAAAAGAGGGAAAATGCACTGTTTGATATTCACAGATCTCCTGCAAGAAGAAGCCATATCAGGTAAATGTCACAAGCTTTTTGGAGGTAGAAGATATTTGTGTTCCTTCAGCATATTGTGTTAGCTGTTTATTTTGAAACTTTCTGTCTCTGGGTGATAGTTCTGATTCTTTGGGTTTAATAAGGAAGGCTCTCATCCTGCAGTGAGCTTCATGTAGGTGGACTCCTGTGTTCATCCAAAACTTATGTAAGATAGAAAAGCTCATTTCAGGTTTGGGGCCTAAGTCTTTATTTTTTTTTTTTTTTAAGCTCTTCTGTTTGTAACCTGTTGTTTCTTGTATTATCTGAAAATAATTGAAGACCAATTTAGCTGAATTTTCCTATAATTAATAAAAAAGAAATCAGTATAATAGCATCAGGGTGTTATAAATAAAATGATTGCTGAATACCTTCATGGGAAGATGGTTAGTTAATCTGAATAATAGTATGAAGCAGTCTAGTGTGAAATAAAACTTTTAATTGCAGAAGTATATAGGAACATTAGGAATTACTAGACTAGAACAGACCCAAGGTCCTGCTAGTCCTGTATCCTGTCTATTGACAGTAGCCCAGCATCAGATGCTTCAGAGGAAGGTGTAAGAATATTGCAGTAGGTGGATTTGGGATAACCTGACCTCAACATAGGTCTCATCCTGTTCTTAAGCCCTGAAGCACAAGGTTTAATATCCCTTCCAAGATTGTTATTAATTGTAACAAATCTAGATATTCTTGATAGCCTTATAAATATCCAATCCCATATTGAATCTTAAGTACTTGGCATCAGCCACTTTCTGAGGCAATGAATTCCATAGTTTGATCACATGAATATATGGGTCTTGGATTGTGCCTTAGGATCACATTCTGATTAGGGAACAAATGAAAATTAATGTCATGGTTGTATCATAATGCCAAGTAGAAGTTCTGTGTGATTGGGGGAGGGATAGCTCAGTGGTTTGAGCATTGGCCTACTAAAGCTAGGGTTCTGGTGGCACCTTAAAGTCTTTAAGGTGCCACCAGACTCCTTGTTGTTTTTGTAGATACAGACTAACACGGCTACCCCCTGATACTTAAAGCTAGGGTTGTGAGTTCAATCCTTAAGGGGGCCACTTAGGGATCTGGGGCAAAAATCTGTCTGAGGATTGGTCCTGCTTTGAGCAGGGGATTGGACTAGATGACCTCCTGAGGTCCCTTCCAACCCTGATATTCTATGAATTATAAGCAATCTGCTTAGGAGAGGCCCAAGACTGGAATAGCGGGTGTGAAACAGGTTCCTTGAAAGAACCTGTGTATTTGTATACTGTAGCAGTCTCAAATAGTGCTATATTAGGGTATATCTACACTGCAATAAAACACCCATGGTTGGCCTGTGTCAGCTGACTTGGGCTCGTGGGGCCCAGGTTGTGGGACTATAAAATTGCAGTGTCGATGCATGGGCTGGAGTCTGGGCTCTGGGACCTGATAGTGCCAAGCCCGAACATCTACACTGCAATTTTATAGTCCCACAGCCTGTTATGTCTTTTAAAGCAGCAAATTTCCCTCTGTACTAAAGAAATAAAGGAAACAAAATACAATTTAAAAAAAAGCAATCATATTTTCTGTTCTGTTATAGTTAAAATTTCTTCCAAGTAGAGTTGATCCAAATGTCAATAAACAGAAAAGATTTTTTTTTTAATTTATTTTGGTTTTTTGACTTGCTCTATTGCCAGGTAAAACTGGTGTATAGTAAGTTGAACTCCAAAGCCTTGAGCAATTTTTTTGTAGGCACACAATTAGAGCCCGACCTTAGAGTTTATAAAAATGAACTTTCTACGAACTGAAATTAATAGGATTTTTTTTAAACAAAAAGGCCTCCTGTGGTGTTTGCAACCCAAATATAATAGCATGATACTGTTCTACCTTTTAAGTGAAATGAAGTAGAAACTGATTGTAGACCACATTGAAATTGACAGTTTTCTTGTCCAAGCTCACAGAAGAGCAAAGAGTGCGAATATGGGAAACAAATAAATAATGCTTAAAATTCTTTGTTTTAATAATTTCCTGTGTTTGTAAGATAAAAAATGTGGTTTTTAAAGATCTGATTTTAAAAAGGGTTTTGTCCATTAGTTCCAGCCAACTAGTTTTATCTCTTTAAATAAAATGTTGATAAAGCATTTCTTGAACAGATGTTCTTCTGTGAATAGTGTCCCTATGAGTGCTCCAATCTGGGTGTGCTAGCTCCCCTTATGCCTCTGATTGGAGATTTCTCATAGCAGTGTCCATTTGGCCTGTGTATGTGTGCTAGTTAAGCCTGTGCCCCATGTCTTCGTTATGTAGTACTGCACTGACAAACTGCCTCAGTTCTTCTCAACCACTGCGGCCTGAGACGGAGCTCTGGCAGTTATCCCCGTTGAGATTTCCTCAACTTTGTCCTCATTCTTGTTCTAGTAGTTAGTTGTAGTAGTTCTTAGCGTTAGTTTAGTTCAGCGGTTCTCAGATTGTGGATCAGGACCCCAAAGTGGGTCACAACCCCCTTTGAATGGGGTTGCCATGGCTGGCTTAGACTTGATGAAGCCTGAGCCTCACTACCCAGGGCAGAAGCCAAAGCCTGGGGCTTCAGCACTGGGTGGCAGGTTTCAGGTTGCAGGCCCCCTGCCTGGGGCTGAAGCCCTTGAGCTTCAGGGTTGGCTCCCCCCCGCCCGGAGCAGTGGGGCTCGGGCTTTGGCCCTCCCACCCAGGGCAGTGGGGCTTGGGCAGGCTCAGGCTTCGGTTCCCCCTCCTGGGGTCCTGAAGTAATTTTTATTGTCAGAAGGGGATCGCGGTGCAATGAAGTTTGAGAACCCCTGGTTTAGTTATTTAGTAAATAGAAGTAGTTTTGGCTTCCTAGTTTTAAAAATAAAAAAAAATTCTCTATTATATATTATATTTAGATAGTTCTTGTTCACTGGGATGTTCTACCCAGTTCTCCCAGCTTCAAATGTTTTCTGTTGTGCTGGGAGGTGAACCTGGTAAGTGATGGGCACTCCTGCTGCATCTGTTGCCTTGGGGAAAACACACATCTGTCTGGCACTGAAATCCAGAGCCAGAAAAAACAGGGAGATAAAACTTTGTCTCCTCATGACTGAGAGCTCTCTATGCCTGGCTTGTGACCTGGGCCAAGAGTTCCCACCTGTACACTGGTCTCCAAGCAAATTTTCTGCCTCCATAATATCAGAGCCCCACTCCTCCAGGGCATCTAAGAGGAAGACGCAAGACTCCTCTCAGAAGTCCTCTGAGGGCCATGCCCTGGGCTCACTAGGTAGGGAATCTACCTCTAAAAAGCCGAGATTGTCTGTCTGTGTCTTCAGCCACTCTGGCACCATCTGCTCTCCAATTGGGTACCCATGAGTCTGCTGGTTCCTCAGGTACCCAGAGCACCGTTAGACTGAAAGACTGCAAAGCTTTCTTTAATCATTAGTACTGTTAGCAGGCCAAGATGGCAAGAAGAATTCTTCCTCAATATTGAAGAAGCCCTCTCAGGCTCCGAATACACTTCCCTTGGAGCACCCGAAACCCACGGTACTGTTAGCACCCTCAGCCGCCACCACCTTGGTGGAGACTACAGAGTCAGTACCCATGACACACTCACAGGAGTTCCATTTTCCCCGAGACCTGGCTGTTTCTGAGACACCAGATTTTCTACTGCTCGGCTCCAACATGCTGTCAGTACTGAGAACATCAAGATCGCCTGAGGTTCACCCAGTACCAGTGGTTTCACCTCAGATCTCCAGGTGCACCATCATTCCAGAGTGAGTTTGAGGAAAAGGATGCTGATGAAGACCTTGCCTTGGTGTCTCAAATATCAACTCAGGGTTCTCTCACTCCTATAGAGGCCCCTTTCCAGAAGTCTCTGATGAAACTATAACTACTCGTGGTACAAATTTGCAACCAACATCTCACTAGTATGAGCACCTGTGGGTGCCACCTCCACCTTATGCACCTCCTTGGCCATATTGGGACCTTTGGCTGGCCTATTGCCAACAATTCTCCAGGGCATTGCGCATCAGCAGGCCCTACCAAATTCATGGTCCATTTTGGTTAATTTCATGGTCCTAGGATTTTAAAAATAGCATTTTTCATGATTTCAGCTACTTGAATCTGAAATTTCACAGTGTTTTAATTGTAGGGGTCCTGACCCAAAAAGGAATTGTGGGAGCTCGCAAGGTTATTGTTGGAGGGGTAGAGGTACTGCTACCCTTACTTCTGTGCTGCTGCAGATGACGGTGCTGCCTTCAAAGCTGGGCAGCTGGAGAGTGGTGGCTGCTGGCCGGGAGCCTAGCTCTGAAGAAAGAGCCACCTCCAGCAGCCGCACAGAAGCAAGGATGGCATTGTATGGCATTGCCAAGCTTACTTTTCCACTGCTGCTGGCGTCCTGCCTTCAGAGAGCCAACAGCTGCCACTCTCCAGCCACCCAGCTCTGAAGTCAGCACAGAAATAAGGTGTTGTCAGTAACTACTGGTGTGGTGCTCTGCTCGTGTTCGATGATGATAACGGTCGGCTGCGTATGTGTTCCCTCTGTGTGCTGCCCCAGTTCTGCGCAGATAGCTGATGCAGCAAACCCTGAGAGATTCCCCAAAGACCACAGACTCTAGTAAGGTACGAAGGAACCCGAGTCAGGTTTATTGTCAAACGAAGCACAGTAATAGTTTCCCGTAGACTCTACAAGACATACTACGAATTTGTGTCCCCTGGCAGTGGACCAGCTCAGTCAGTGGCAGGACTTTCCACTGCCCCCTAGGCCAGACAAAGATGTGCACTCCAGGACCTACTTTTATACAGTTACAGGACAGATTACTCATCCCTACTGACGTATTGAGGTACAGTCCCATGGCTCATTAGGGTGCTGTCTCCCCCTTTGATCATGTTGTTTCAAACAAACAGATCTATCCATCATGCTGTCCTTTTGACCCTGTGTTTAAGATGCACCTGCCTGTTCCTTGTTATTTCTGTGGAGTGTCCTCATATCGGGATGTCCCGGTGCCATCTTGGCACAAGTTCCTCTTATTAGT